CTCGGACTCAAAGAAAAGAGGTGGGGTCGGCTGACGGGGCCCCTGCCTGTCGTCCCAGCGCTTTGGAAGGCAGGAGGATCCTCGAGCAGCCTGGGCAGCACAGCAGACCTCCTCTCCACAGTTAAAAAAAAATCAGCCAGATGTGGTGGCACCTGTAGTCCCAGCTGCTCGGGAGGCCGAGCAGAAGGATCTCCTGATCCCAGGAGGTCGAGGCTGTGGAGGCCGAGATCTTGCCGCTGCCCTCCAGCCTGGGCCGCAGAGGGAGACTCTGACTCAGAAGACTAAAAGGCACCAGTGAGGGAGCCTGGTAACAGCTCGTTCAGCCTGGTGCATCCTGAATCCCACTCAAGAGGTCACTGGCCACACGCCACATGTCCTGCAGCTACACACAGGAGCGGCTGCCCTGGCCACACAGCTCTGACCCCTGGGACTCTGTTAAGTAGATCCAGGTCTGCAGGCCCAGGTGCGACGCCTCCAGGACGCCCTCACGGACCCCCCAGCTGCCGCACCCCTTGCCCTCTGTGCCTGTTTCAAGACCTGGAAGTGGCCCTCCTGCCCCAGCGGACGTGTGAGGCGGGGACCGGGCTCCAGGGTGGGAAGCTGCCAGCCAGGGACGCCAGGCCCACCTGAGCAGTGCCTGCGGCTCAGACCTGACCATGTTCTGGGCCCCAATTACAAGCACCCCACAGCCGCTTGGCAGGACATGCCCCTGGCAGCGTCCGTGGCCCAGAAAGACAGAGTGGAGACGCACAGTCAGTGGGGGCTTGTTGAGCTGGCCCAAGCACTGCGCTGGCCCAGACGTGCTGGCCGCGGGGGCGGGACTGCCAGGCCGGCCGCGGGGCGAGGCTTTGGGCTCATCACTGACGAGGACCAGCGGCTTCAGCACCTGCGACTGTCCTCAGCTAGAAGGTTCCTTCCCATTCAGAGAAACGGGGAATGGGCAGAAGGGGAAGGACCCGCGGGGGGGTGAGGCAGGGGCGGTCGAGGGAGATGGGGCAACAGATACGGCACGGGGCACAGGGTTGAGAGAGGGGCATGCAGAGACGGCATGAGGGCACGCCAAGACAGGGCTTGGAACGCAGAGACGGCACGGGCGCACAGAGGGAGCCGAGGGGACACAGGGACAGTGGGGGAGAGGAACACAGAGGGGGTCGAGGGAGACGGGGGAGGCAGGATCGCGGGGCGTCCGCGGGGATGGGGTGGAGGGGGCTGGATCACAGCCACAGGGGCCCAGCTCAGGAGGTGCCGGGGGAGTCCAGCCTTCTCCAGGGTACGGGGCAGGTATGCGTGTACGTGTGTACACGGGAGCATGCACGTGTGCGTCACACAGACGGGGAAGTGTGCGTGCCTGTCCAAGCGGGGGTGTGAACCGGCAAGTCCGTGTGTGCCCGCGTGAGTGTGCGGATGCATGGACGAGGCCATGTGTGCACACACGTGAATGTGTCCCCATACGGGTGTGAGTGTGCCTGTGCACGCATGCACAGAGGGAGGCCCTGGGACCGCGTTGGGCCTGACGGCGGGGACTCACCCGGCGGGCCCAGTTGATGAGGTCATCCAGCTTGGCCACCACATACTCGGCCCGGCTGCTGGGCTGTGTGCTGGGCCTGGGGGCCACAGCCCGGGCCTGGGGCACAGCGGGCTGGGTGCTGGCGGGAACAGACGGCCCATCAGTGTGCAGGTGCCCCAGGCCGACGCGGCCCCGCGGTCCCTGCCGGGACTTGCCAGGAGTGGCTTCTCAGGGAGGATGACACGGTTGTCAGGGGGTCCCAGGGCGGCACTGGGCAGGGCCCGGGCACACACAAGGCCCAGCAGGCTGAGGCAGGGCCACTGATGAGCAGAGGAACCGGGTGGCCCTCTCAGGGTCGTGGGGAGGCAGCCAGAGGCCTGGGCCCGCTGAGGGCAGGGGTGAGGCGGCACCCCACGGTGGAGGGGACCCTGACACAGAAAAGGAGGAGGGTGGGGTGGGGATGCGGCCTCCCAGGAGGCCAGCCTCACCTGCTGGGGCCACCGGACGTCACGCTCTGATGGATGCCCCGCACCTGCGCAGCTGCACCCAAGCTGGGCCTGCTGAGATGGACGGGTCAGGGCGGCCAGGGCCCCACGGGCCCTCGTCGGCCATGACCGAGCCGGGCTCGGTCCCGGCCCTCCCCATCGTGGGCCCTCTCGCGCCTCTGCCCGTGGGCCCCGGTCCGGCCCCCATCCTCTCGCACGGGCTGCTGGCCGGAGCAGGGCCGTGTGGCCATCACCGCCCCGCCATGAGGGCTCAGGCTTCAGTTTCTCCCCAGTGACCGCTGCGGGGAGGGGGGTGTGCCCGTAGGACCATCCACAGAAGGCAGCTTTGGCCAGGCTGCTCTCCCGGGCAGGGCCCGCACTCAGGGGCTGGGCCTGGAGGGGGCCTGCCCATGGCCGTCAAGGACACAGCTCACAGGACACCTTCCTGCAGCGGGCCACAGAGCCCTCCCAGGGCAGGGACAGCCTTGGCCACCACCCAAGCTGTCTCCACGGAGAGGCTGGCACACCGGGCCCCCGCCCTGTCCCGGCCCTCCCCCAGCCAGGGGCCCTGTGGGCCACGGCCCCTCGCAAGCCGGCTGAGCCTCACACTCACCGCAGACCCAGGATCCGGGCACGGAGCAGGCCGGGAGCTGCCGAGAAGGGGGTGTCAGTGAGGGCCGCAAGCCGGCCTGTCAGAACAGGAAAGAGCTCCCTCCCCAGAGGAAACCCCAGCTCCCCGCTCCCTGCGACTTTCACTGCACCCTCTTCCGCGCTCCTCCTGCTCCTCCCCTTCCCTCCTTCCTCTTCCTCCCTCCTTCATCAGTGGGTCTCTCTCCCCTGAGGCCAGGGCCTCCCAGGGCCCCGTGCCTGGCCTTAGCTGGGTGGCCCAGGCCCAGGTGGTGCTGGGGCCCACAGGCTGGGACAGAGGCACAGGGCGAGACGGGGGCATGTGGAGCGGGAGACCCTGGTATACAGGGGGGCATCCAGAGAGGCTGACTTGGCACCCCAAATCCCTATGCTGAAGGCCCGAGTCTAAGACCTCAGAGTGTGACTGTTTTTGGAGTCAGGCTCTTCAAAGAAGTCACTGAAGTACAACATGGTCATGAGGGTGAGCCCTCATCTAACAGGACTTATGTCGTCATGAGAATAGGTGACAGTCTGGGCAACATAGCACGAGCCCTGTCTCTCCAGAAAAATAAAATGAGCCCGGCGCGGTGGCACCTGTCGTTCCAGCTATTGGGGAGGCTGAGGAGGGAAGATGGGTTGAGCCCAGGAGGTCGAGGTTGCAGTGAGCTATGACTGCACCGCTGCACTCCAGCTTGGGGGACAGAGCAAGACCTTGTCTCTTTTTTTTTTTTTGGTTTTTTTTTTTGAGTTGGAGTCCCACTCTGTTGCCCAGACTGGAGTGCAGTGGCTGCCCGCTCCCGGCCACTGCAGCCTCGACCTGCTGGGCTCAGGCGATCCTTCCACCTCAGCCTTTCACGTAGTTGGAACTACAGGCACGCGCCACCATGCCCAGCTAATTTTTTTGACTTATTGTAGAGATGAGGTCTCGCCAAATTGCCCAGGTCTTGAACCCGCAGTTTCAGGCAATCCACTCACCTCGGTCTCCCAAAGTGCTGGGGTTACAGGCTGAGCCACCGAGCCCAGCCTAGACCTTGTCTCTTTAAAAAAAAAAAAAGGCAATTGGGATATAAACATGCACAGAAGCCAAGACAGTTGTCTGCAAGCCCAGGGGGAAGATCCAGAGGGAGCCAGCCCTGCCGGCACCTTGAACTTGGACCCTGAGCTGAGAGAAAATAAACTTCTGTTGTTTAAGATGCTAGGTCTGTGGGACCTTGTTGCTACAGCCCTAAAAGACTAGGCAGGGCACTGGGGGGTGAAGCCCAAGGGAGAGGTTGTGGGCGGCCCAGAGGCCCAGGCTGGGGTCTGACGGCCCGACTGCTGGGGCCACCCAGCTCTGTCCCTCTCCGAGCGCGGCCCTCACTCCAGCCCTGGCCTTGCCCAGGGCTGCCATTTTCCGTCCCGACTGGACTAGCTGAAGGACGTGAGGCTATGACCTAGTTCCTGGCACAGCCAGGGCAGGGTGCAGAGGACAGGCTTGCTGCCCGCCTGGCACTTGCATGAGCCGCCCCTCTGGACCTGCAACCCAACCGGCACATTCAGGGCTTTGATGAGCCCACAATGGGGAAAGGCTCCCCGAGTCCCCATGTGGTGACAGGACCCTGCACCTCTGGACCACGCAGACGTTGGTCACGAGGGCTGTGGGAGGGGAGAGTCCCGAACGGTGAACTGGCATGGGAAGAAAACAAACACCCCCTTTTTTGAGCTGGGGTCTCATTCTGTCGCCCAGGCTGGAGGGTAGTGGTACAATCACAGCTACTGCAGCCTCGACCCGCTGGGCTCAGGCGATCCTCCTGCCTCAGCCTCCTGAGTAGCTGAGACTACAGGCGCCACCACACCCAACTCATTTAAAACATTTTTTTGTAGAGGCAAAGTGTGGCTGTGTTGCCCAGGCCGGTCTCGATCTGTTGGGCTCAAGCCATCCTTCCCCCTCAGCCTCTCAGGACCAGGCATTCTTTTTTTTTTTTGAGTTAGAGTCTCACACTGTCGCCCCGACTGGAGTGCAGACCACCGCAGCCTCGACCCGCCGGGCTCCGGCGATCCTTCCGCCTCAGCCTTCCAGTAACCGGAATTACAGGCGCGTGCTACCACGCCCGGCTGATTTTTTGATTTATTGTAGA